TCGTCTTAAACTTGCGGCCATCGCAGATTTTCCGCAATAATTTCTTTACTTTTTCTTCATCCTCTTTGGCGTAAGCCTGAGCGATGTCAGGCTGATCGCTGTCAGGCTGATCACTGACAGGCTCAAACCTCTCAGCAATGTGCCACACTGGGGCCCATGGAAGGCGCCTTTGAACTGTCAAAGAAAAAAAATATCACGGTCACACGTACAGAAATGCAGATACACTAAATTACTGACTAAAAAAAAAGAAAAGGTTTAGAACATTGTTTTTACCCGGCTTCTGGTACACCATGTTAATTTGTTGTGCATCATCTGCCTCAGATGCCTTGTCATTTGTCCTGGGCTCCAGGAGGTGAAGTAATACTTCTCGGAATTCTTCTTCGGCCTCCTTCTTTGGCAAATCACCCTCGATTCTGGGCGTCCTCAACTTCATCCGTCTGGGCTTCTGGCAGCGCCGCATCCTCTTTTGGAAGTTGTATAAACTGTTCTTGCTGACAACCCGCTCTGTCAATCTCCGGAGCTCCGCCCGCCGAACAGCCATCCTTGCGGCTTGGAAGCAGGCCCTCTCGTAAGCCCCACTTGGCTCATGATGCCTGGCAAACCGCCACAAGGACACCATCCGCCGGACGGTGGCGGAATTTCTGGTGTTCGGCCGCTGTCAACAAGCTAGGGCCCGCCCTTCCGTCGAACCGAGTTGCCAGCTCCGCTTCGCTGCGCCGGCAACTCGGTTCGACAGGGGGCCGGCCCAGCTTGGCCTGCCGGCGGCCTTTTCTCGTGCCTTCGGCCCTCGCATCAGACCCAACTTGGCCAGTCGAAGGCCCGGGCCTTCGGCCCGCTCGCATCACACTCACCGTGAGCGGGTAAAGCAAAGTTATCGATGTACCATCGTGACTTAGGCCCGCCCTTCTATTCACAATATGCAATAGTCCTTACACTTTTTACTCCAACTGTCCTTAGAATATGCCTATTTCATTTGTCTCTTCGCCCTCATTCCGAAAATACCCATATTTGCCATGCTACTGCAACTCCTTGCAATAGAGGCACAGCAGGAGCGCAAAACGAGTCCGTCGCACTTTTCCCCATAACTCATGAAGGCGGGCTCCTGGACCCCCCTTGCGACCCCTCGTTGAAGAGGTCTTGCCAAGACCTATCCAAAACTTAAGTAAAAATTTTCAGTCGGTCGACCCCCTTTTTTCAAGATCCTGATGTGACTAATAGACGAAGTCGGGCTCCTGGACCCCCTTTCCGACCCCTCGTTGAAAAGGTCTTGCTGAGACCAATCGAAATCTGCAATAAATTTTTTTAGTCGGTCGACCCCCTTTTTTGAAGATCCTGATCTGGCCAACTTGTAAAAGCGGCCGATGGGGTCGGGACCAGGTCCATTCATCTTGTCTCGTCGCCCCGATTCCAAAAATACCCCTATGTGCCCTGCTAGCACCAATAATGGCGGAAATCCCCCTCCCGCTCATGTAAACCATGATGCACCTGCAGCAGCCCTTGTGCGACCCGGACGGGATTTGCACCACCGGATTATTTGTTTGGACGGTACTCCTGAAGTACCCTCCAAATCTGGTTACTCTAGCTCAACTCCTTCTTTGTACTCAGACGCCAACAACAACAACAACAACAACAACAACACACAGACACAAAGGCAAATGCATAGGCCCTCCCCCTATTTTTTTGAATAGAAGGGCGGGCCAAAAAAGGTTGAAATAATATTTTAACACTGTGCCTACCCTAAAACAACTACACAGCAGCGTCAAATTAAGCTGCTTCTACTTACAGCATGAGATTTGAAATTGCTGATAAATCCTTCAGCATAAAGAGGAAACACTGAAGGATTATCTGCTTTCCTCTTAAGAGGCAAGCAACAAAAAGAAATCAAAATGCCGTAAAATTCGAAAAATTCCAATGCCAATGTATTCCACAGTGGAACATCTTTGAAGTCAATCATTATTAAAATGTTCGTGGGGGAAAGGAGGCAGTAAATTAATTTTCGCGGGTTGGCAACAATCTTCTCGGCGTCTGCGCCCTTGCGAAAATAGCGAAGCCGAAAACACGAGTAGTCGCGCATTAAAACTGCCCCTCCATTGTTGCTGACGTTGAATTGTTTCGGCTTGTTTCAAAAGGCTACGGTTCTCTAGTCATGTTTTCTTCAATTCTGTGTAATAGTTCTCACTCACAACGTAACAACACCACGACGGTTGGTTTGACAAACTTTTTTAACTCAGGAGGGATGGTTTCGAATCGCAGGTCAGTCTTGTTCGAGGAACATGAGCACTGAAAGTCGCGATGTGGTCATCGTGCTAACTGAATGAGAAGCACCATCAAACAAAAACTAGAGCTTCCCAATAAGACAAATGTAACAGTAAGAAATATAGTTTTGTTTTATTGATTCAGTAAAAAGTTGATAAATGAAAAAATGGTTCTATTTTTTCAATATTTTTAAATCTTTTCTTCAACATGTGTCTTCAAAATATATTCAGATATAATGTCATAATTTATACAGATTAATTTTGTGGTAGAAAATACACATTGAAAATGAAACAAGTTATGTTCCAATTACAGCTAGAAAAAAGACAAGTTTGTCCTCGAAAAAACGTTTTGAGGCACCATGTTAAAAAGGCGTTTCAAGAGGTGCTGATCAAAAGTAGATAGCTAAAAAAATATTTTTTCTGGACCCAAAACCACCTAAGCCCAGTGGTAAAATGACCCAAAACTTAAATTGTTCACAGTTCCTCTAATAATTGCCTGACATGGCTGAAATTTTTTGGATGTGTTTACCTATGGGTAGGCACCATTTAAGACAAAGAGGAGCGAAATCGCCGATGGTCTACTTCAAACGGCCCTGATATGCTCAAATCTTCAGTAAAAATAGTGAAATTGAGCAACTTTGAGAGCCCGTAGCATCCAAACCCGACGTCGTAGAGCCTCGTTCGACACGGCATTCGAAAGAGCGCATTATCTGAGATCCATTTGGGTACATTTTTGGATCTCGGTTTGCGAGAACCCATCTAGTCTCAAACCCTCGAAAACAGCTGTTTTTGGGGTGTTTAGACCCGTACCAAAGCCTCAGGGGGTGTCGGATTTCGCCTAAGTGTCTTTTCGGCAGTTCGTATGCATTCAAGGAACCGATAAAACACCACAAGCGCCCGCTCCTAGGATGTCGCCGGCCAAGTGTTTTTTTTTTTTTGTCTGGAGCTTCTTTGAGTTGGCTGACAAAACATCTTTGGTGCATCGGCCAGGAATGCTGCAGCCTCCGACAACTTGGAATTGCGGTGCATGCAATTCACATATGTACCCACCCTCTTGGCTTTCTTCGGGTTTCCTGATACGGGTATCTGGGCACGCCCGGTCAAGTATTGGGCACCTATATGATACAGTGCCCCATTCTCCTCGATGTCCCCACACTCTTCCAAGAAAGCCCTACAGTCTCCAAGCTAGGGCATAGCCGCAAGGTAAGGCGTGCGTGCCAATCGCTTTAGCCCCTCTTTGCACGCGCCAAACTTGGCGGTGCCTGCTGGATAAGTGGACTTTCTAATTTCCAGGTCCTTAGAGATGCCCCATTCTTTCCCTTTCATCGGGGTATGGTCGCTAGGGTACACCACAATCTTGAAGCCAATGACCTGGAGCACCATCCTTGTACTCGCCCAGTGGCCAGCCGTGTGGACGATGTTCAGGCGAGATAGCGGCATTGTCAGGTAACTTTTCCCAGAGTAACTTATAGATATTTCTCGCGTAATGCGCGAGGCTGGGACTACCTGTATGATGGTTACTCTGATAATACGTTATCTTCGTAGCCACAATCTGGAGCAGTCCATCTGCTACCCTGTTGGCATCGGCCAGAGCCTTGAGCTTGGCCCGGAATGCTGGGTTGTTCGCCTTCGCAGTTATAGCTGGGTCTGGGGCAGCATCTACCACCACGTCGCAATCTGGCAGCTCTGGAGCAACAAGGGTTGTCCTTCCCACCAGGCTGTAGGATTCGACTGCCATGGCACAAGATACTAGCATGTCATCATGGACAGCCCCATTCAGCAGAGATGCTGACGCGGCCGCATAGGCAATGCGCTTGCCTAGCGATGCAGGTTGCATTGCCTAGGATGTGCAATCTTTTTGACACGTCAAGCGACTCCTCCGTGCCTACGGCAAGTCCCACCTCGAATGCACCGTCTACTTGTGGCAGATCCAAGACGAATTCTTGTACCTCCATGGTACTGCTCATGTGGTTGTCAAAATCGGGAGAAGGGTCAATATCGGTTAAAATGTCACAATCGGTAATACAAGGCGGAGTTGAGCTCTACGCCTCAAAGGGGAAAGAATCCCAAGAAAGAACTTGTGTAAAACAAATTCCCTCTCAACAACGACAATCAACAAGGGTAGGTGACTAAGCCTTCCTTTGCCTTCAGAGAGGGAGGGATGTCTGAATGGGGGACCAAAATGGCGCATGTCTGAATGAGGTACCTTTACTACTTTCCCTCCCCTGGCTTAGGTTAGGTCGGGTAAGAGCTCTCGCCCTCATCTGACCTCCACCAAAAATTGGCAAAAAAAATTAGGTTTGGATGGGTTACACCTCTTAGGACACCTAAGGTCATATGGAAGATAAGGTCGGCGCAACCGAGATGCATGCTGGGAGACCGGGCAAGCCGGTAGGCACGCTGGCAGGCAGGTAGGCGGTCCTCCGCTGCACCCGGCGACGGATTCGGGAGGGATTAGCTGCCTGGTCTCCCAGCATGCATCTCGGTTGCGCCGACCTATCTTCCATATGGCCTTATGGACACCCCCCACCCCTTGGGTGACATTGACACGCCATGATGGCGCTTGGGCACATTATAGTAGCCTACTAACCTCTCATTTTAACTAAAATTTCAATTAAGGATGGGCGCTTATGGCCTCTGTCCCTGACTGGACTTTTGACGCTGAGCACCATGGCCTTGGCGCATTAGTTTGTTACCTTCAGTAAATGTCTGACAGGTTGGCAACGCAAAGTCCCTAAGAACTACCTGGATGTCACTCGGCGAGAAAGCGAGGCAGAAGTCGCTGCGGTTGTGATAGACGTCACCCAGTGCGCCGCCGAAGTGAGGAAAATCTGCGGCGTTGCCGTAAGCATTGCCGTCTGTTGGTTGAGCCAAGTCTGGCGTGAAGTTCATGTACCTGGCCAAAGTCGCAAGAAACGGCCTGCAAGGCCCCCGGTTTTAAGTCCAGTGTGGCAGACAGTGCTCAGCGCATGCTTTATCATATTCAATTCATTTCGATTCGAAGAGTTACGAACGCCTGAAGTTACGAGGGCTAAATCACTGGTGTACTCATGTGTACAAAGTGGCCCGTTCTCAGTGTACTCACAAGCTCAAAAATTGCAAAATTCGCTAGGTTTTGGTAAGATTGGTGTTTCGTATTGACTGAAACACTAAATGTACCCGTTAAACGTTTCATGAGTTTTCGTAGGTGTTTACGTAAAATCAGAACGAAAAGGTAGGTTGATTTTGGGATTGCAAAAAAAAATTGTCAAGCATATTATCAATTTTCCCAAAATCAACATACATTTTCGTTGGAACAACAAATTATTTTTTAACTCGTGCTCACTAGAACGCTGAGTGATTAATCCCTCGTTAAGTTGGCATTTCTAAAATCATCAAGGCCTGCGCGATGCGGTGAGTGCGCGAAATCAAAGTCTTTGCTAATGTTGGATCTTTTATAACAGCAGTAGAAGGCAATTTTGATTCCAGCACGCTTTTTCAGGGGACCGAGAAAACTGACTCTCACTTTGAGAAAACGATATAGATAATGATTCCAATATTAGTCTTCATTCATTTTTAAGTCACACACATATTGAGCTTGTATATTACAGCATCAACGGTGAAAACAAGAATTTTGTTCTTCTACGGACGAAGTGTCGCTTTCTGGGTTGAACGACCTCGGTTCATGATGACATTCAATGCCTTTCAACGACTAAGTTTTCATTCATTTGTTTGCTTCTGTACAACTGAATACACTCCCAATATCCTACTGAGCTTTTTCTGCGTAATACGAACAAAAGGCTTAGTATTATGACAGCGCAGCGAAGGTAACCTGTGGTGAAGAATTCTCAGTAACTTATGACCACTTTCCTCATATTACGAACAAGTTTCTCTGTGTTATGACAGATTTGTGTCGTAAAGTACTGAAAATTGGCTTAATATTATGACTGCACGGCATTTCTCAGTAGGAAATTGGGAGTGATACAACAGGGTTCCAGTTCTTCTCCGAAGCACCCTACTCGCCGTTGCAGGCGCTACCTACGCGTAGGTCCCGCCCAGCACAAAGCGCCCGGTCTTGTTGACGGGGATGAGGTCCGTCCAGGGCCGCGTCTGGAAGGCGGTCACGCGCAGGGGGCAGCCGCCCAGATCCCGGACCTAGGAGTCTCGGATTTGTTAGAGAAATCATTGGGCTGAATTCTAAGACAACTTTTACACAATTTGACCAAAATTGAAAACTTGCAATCCTGAGGCTTATAAGGAAAGGTGGACCACTATGATATTGAATAGTTAGTAGCACAGCCTCTCTATCGGGAACGTGGTGTTGATCTGCAATTCATGTCCTATCACACAGAAAATCGAAATCGAAAAGAACAACTCTTTAGTTTACTTTCTGACTCATGTTTTTCTCTCATGTTGGTACTCCTCTACTTTTGTTTAGCTTATTTATTTTGTTGTTGATTGTGACAGTATCAGTATGATTTGAAAGATTATCCCTTTTGAAAACGTTCTTGCAATGGTTTGGAATGTTTCACAATTAAAATTGAATGGTCGGACACGTGGCCAAATTGTGGCGAGACAAGAAGTCACGCCGAAAATTGGCGTGACAGGAAATTCACGCCGTCATCTGGCGTGAATGTACTAGTAGTATGTGGAGTGCAAGAATGCGTTTTAGGGGGAATAGTCATGCCAGAAACCAGCATGACAGGAAATTCACGCCAAAACTCGGCGTGAATTCTTAGTCACGCATATTTTTGGTAGGACTGTTCTGTCATGCCGTTTTTCTGCGTGCACGCCCCTGCAGCGGCACGAAGTCACGCCGATAGATTTTCAGTGCGGCGTACCTTGGCGACCAGCCCGAAGGCCGCGGGGTGCTGCGCGCTGCGGGGCGTCCATTCGGCCACCTGCTGCGGCCCCATGTCGCGGCACCGGCCCGCGCGGTAGGGCAGGTACGTGTACACCAGCAGGGAGCCCCTGCCGGCGGCCACGGCCACGGCGTCCAGAACGTCCAGCCGCCAGCATGACTCGAAGGCGCCGGCCGCACGCGACAACAGCGCCTAGGAGGAGGCACCTTGTCAGCAACCAAGTTTACACTGCTACACTGCAAACCTAACTGTCTACTTAGTGCACACTTACAAATGCGTGCTTGCAAGTACACACTTACAAACGCATGCTTGGCCAAGTACACACTTACAAATGCGTGCTTGCAAGTACACACTTACAAACGCATGCTTGGCCAAGTACACACTTACAAATGCATGCTTGCAAGTACACACTTACAAACGCATGCTTGACGCCGTATAACTCCATGCGTCAAGCATGCGTTTGTAAGTGTGTACTTGCAAGCATGCATGTGTACTTGGCCAAGCATGCGTTTGTAAGTGTGTACTTGCAAGCACGCATTTGTAAGTGTGTACTTAGTAGACAGTTAGGTTTGTAGTGTATCCAAGATAGCATGCAGCATTCTGATAAACACCTGGACCAAATTTTGCTTGCGAACGTGAAGTAAAACACGGGCCACGCTTGGTGTGCCACCTGAAGTGGAGTAGGTGCAGGTGTTGTCTAGTACTCTTGTATTGACAGATCAGATTTTTTCAGACAGTTTCTCATACATGTCTGGTTTTTATCCCTCTTGATTTCTTCTCATCTTGCGCCCCAGCTCTTCTCCGAAGGGCCCTTTTTGAGCGTGCGCCATTGCCTAGTGCTCTTGCAAAGCCGGTGGTAAGTTTACTTGCCACGAATTTGGCAAGCCGTTTTGAATGACAAAAATTGGCAAGCTTGGCCTGGAAATACTCCCCAGCATGCCAAAATTTGGCAAGCTTAGCCTGGAATTACCCACCAGGTTGCCAAAATTTGGCAAGCTTGTGAAGATTTCCGACCATAGCTTGCCAAATTTTGGCATTCAAAACGGCTTGCCAACTTTTTGGCAAGTAAACTTACCACTGGCTTTGCAGTGTGTACATCCTACCCCGCATGTATTTTCTTACCTCCCGCGTGCGGAAGGACACGATGACGACGACGTCCCGCGCGTGCAGAGTCACGTTGGCCAGGACGCCGCAGTCCATGCCCACGAGGACGAACAGGTTCCTGGTCGTGACGGGCCAAGACGGCAGCACCGCGCCCCCGACCGACACGGTGTACGCGAGTGTCGAGTGCCTCCCTACCCTGTAAGTGCACGATCATATGAAAAGAGGTATTCGTAAATCGCAACCCCCCTTCGTACACTGATAATCAATGTCCAGGACAAGTTCACACTTGCTGGCGGACACTACAAACCCTACTGTTAAGTACACACTTACAAAAGCATACTTTGAAGTACGCTACTGCTACTGCCAGTTAAGAAGGATCAAAACGTCTATTTTACTTAATGTATGGCGATCAGAGGTCACTCTGAGGAAAATCCTTGACGCTGATTCAGAAAATATTCTGATCGTTTCACAAATAAGCAAAATATTCACCGGTCAATTGAAACAATGCTTTTTTACCTGCGCAGCAGATTCGGGGACACGCACTGGGACCGGCACAGGAAGTGCAGGCCGGACAGCTGCTGCGCCCGGAGCGTGGCGGCCATGTGCAGCACGTAGCCTTCCCAGCGGCCGACAGGGGGCGCTCCACGCGGCACGGGGACGCTGCCGGAAAGCGCCAGCAGCGATACCAGCAGCAGCAGACCCATCGCAGGTTTGGCTAGCCCGAGGGGCAAACAACTTCGTCAAAACACCGTTATTTCAAATTCACGTTATATCACTCTTATTTTAAATTCAAGTGATTTCATTCTTATTACAACGTTAATTCGCGCCATTTCACCGGTTTTTCAACGTTAATTAAGCGTTGTTTCACCGTCACTTCAAGGGAAATGTACACCACAATTCAAGGGCCCTCGGGCTAGCCCTAGACATATCATTGAGAACTTGAAAAGAAGCGCATTTATCATGTGTTGATCGATTACATGATTGACGATTTTCCCACGATTCAGAAGGTTTCGTTGGTGACCTTGAAAAGATCGGTTTCTTTCGATCAACTTGTTCCTTTCAACAATTCGATTTGATTTCGGTTCTACTAATTAGTCGATTTTCTTTCACAATTAATAGGTTTTCAATTTGTCGATCTATTTATGTTGATGAATCGATGGGATCGATATCGATTAACAATGCTATTCGAGACCAATCCTCATTAATATATCTGTCGACTAACGGCTTTTTTTGTCATTTTTTTCGTTTTGATCGTGGTTACTAAGTAACTAACCACGATAAAAACAAAAAGAAATCACCCTGCTCTGGTTTTGTCATTTGCTGTGTTCGACGGCTGGACGTCCAGGGGCGTTGTGCGATCGTGAGCGACTGTCTTGAATCGAAAGAATAGCTCGGGGCTTGCCCACACAAATGCACTGTGCAGGTGCACTGTACAGCGGTCTCCAGCGTCACTTTTACCGTTCGATCACATCCGCCGCCCCGCCCCTTAATCTATCATCCGTTCACAAGGCACCGTTTGGAAGGGGCGGGGAGAATGCACTTTTCGTTGATGCCAGTCTCGTCGCCCCGCCCCGCACGTGTGCTGACTGCGAGTTTCGTCATCAACCATGGGCATTCGGTCAAAGTTCTCTCTCTCTCTCTCTCTCTCTCTCTCTCTCTCTCTCTCTCTCTCTCTCTCTCTCTCTCTCTCTCTCTTTCTCTCTCTGTGAAAAAAAAAACTCAGCCAATTATCATTGGCTCTGGCTTGTATGTTAACTTAGGACACCAAAGTGCCTCTGATAACTATAAATGATATTGGTGTGAAGTACTGTGAGGAGGTAACAAATCTAGGGGTTTTATTTGATACAACTTTAAGCTGGAGACGCGGCACATTAACCAGGGGTACGCGCCGTTTAGTGTGGGCACGCGTAGTGTAGTTGAGCGATGTGAATTAGTTTGTGCGCTTCGGACTTAGCTTTAGTAGACGAAATGTGCAACTCATGGGCCCATATTGAGTAAAATGTAGGTCTGGGGTGTGAATGGAAGTGATTTTTGTTATCCCGACTGAATCAGCCATTCCAGAAACCAAAACAGTCTCCTCGCCGGCCCCCACCACTACCGCTACCACTACCGAGTAAGACATTCGGAAATGTTAATTTACTCGAGAAACCCAATTCAAGTGGACACTTTGGCCAGCTCGAGTAAATGTTCACGTGTTTTTCTCGAGTAAAGCAAATGCTTTACTGGTGGTTTACCGTGAGTGGTGGTGAGGTGTGTCTCGTTTTGTCGGAGGCCGTAACAACAACTCTTTCCAAGCATGCGAGTGCCAAAAAAAAAGTTCATTTGCCGAACGAGGCAATGCCAGAAGTTTTAGTCACAGTTGGCGTTTCAAACAGCTACCGCAGCGCCACGCACGAGAACTGACGAATCCATGACCCGGTCGCCCGGCTCCCCTAAGCTTCCTTAGGAAAAACAGTAGTTTCGCGTGTATTTCGTCAAATTTTCCGGGGTAGAGTCATAGAAAGTAGTGAAATGGGTGGCCTACAGGCCTCAGAAGAAAACACGAGACAGACACAATTGCTGCGTGCCACAGTACCATTATGTACTCAAAGAAAATGTGCATCTTCACCAAGTCCCAAAGGATGAAACTGGACGTCATAGTCTATTGCTATAAAAACTGGGAAGAAATTGGGTCCAAAAATGACTGTGAGTAGTAATCACTTTCTGGAAAATGACTTCATCGAAACTTGTGAGAATGATTTCGTTCCGTCTCCAAAAATAGACAGCAGCGCGTTAACTGCCCATGTTTCTGTACTCAATGTCTAGTTTCAAGGGCGATAATATGGGATTTCTTGCAAGAGACACTGGAAAACAATTATTGGTGCAAGAGACGCTGGAAAACAATTGTTGAGGGGCTTACCTTTCGAGCTTTTGGATTGCCCTTTGGTCAAAAGAGAGGTGAAGAGTAGAGGAACCAAGAGTAAAATCGCCGGCCCATACGGAAACAACGTATTATGGATTTTCATCCCGAAACCTCAAAAAGTGTCCCGAAGACCCTGGTCTACGGTACTGTTTTTCACAGTAAGTGCAAGTGGTTGTTGCCATTTGTGATCTCCGTTTTCATTTGTACCGGAAAGGAAACCTCGGTGCAAGTCGCGCTGGTGGGCGTGGCGTGGGTGATTAGGCGCCAGCCCCACCCATGCCGCTGATACCAACGCCAGACCATTCATCACCATTACAGGCGCGTAATTAGGGGGGGGGGGCGATGGCCCCCCCCTTTGGCCCCCGAAGGGGGCCAAAAGTACTGCCCTTACTGGGTCCGATTGGCCCAAGAAATAGCAGTTAGTCAGGAATCGTCCCTTAGCCTGGCCCGAACAACTCGCATTTTGGACACACTTAGGCATTGGCTTCTAGCTCGCTTCGCTCGCTGGAGGTAACTTGCTTCTAGATCCTCTCCGCTGGCAAATAAACATGATTGAGGTACCTTACGACTGATATATGTGATGCCTTCTTCGATCCTTAACCATCTTAGGCCGGGAAGAAAATTTGTTTGCAACGTATTTTCATTTTTAACCATTTGTTTGTCTGGCCAACCAAAAATATGTACCTGGTAATGTTTAAAATCTCCTGGAACCCTAGGACTAAGACCCCAAGTTATAACATTTCCCGCTCAACAAGGCTATAGCTTTTAGCTCGCTTCGCTCGCAACAGGAAGCCTCTTCTAAATTTCGGCTCCGTGGCAAGTGGGGGGAAGCAAGTGCGCCAGCCCTTCTAGACGAGAAAGTCTTCCCCATTGTAGGACTCGGAAACAACGTTTCAGACAGTTAAGCATTTATAGCTTTTGGCTCGCTTCGCTCGCTGAGAGCTATCTAATTCTAAATTCTCGCTATGAGTCCAAACAAATGTAGAATAAAGTGAATCCTCTTCAAACTTTGTAACAACCCCTCAAATTTCTGTAACGTTGTTTTGAATTTAGCCCCCCCTCCCCAAACCACGTCCCTAAAAATTACTCATCAGACACAGGCTCCTTGAAGGTAGGCAACTTTTCAAACATTCGCCCCCCCCTTTCGACCCGCCTAATTACGCCCCTGCACCATTACGAACCCACGCGTCAACGGAGGTTCTCCCCGACCCGCCGCGCTACACGTGGGCTGCACCAACTGCGCCCACCGCCTTCATGAAACAAGGTTGCATGGTGTTCTGTAGCCACTGTAAGGCATGAGGGTGGGGCACCATGACCACCCCCCTCGCTCTCGAGAACTACTTTGCCGACGGCAACCGGTCGACCGGACTTTCGAGAGAATAAGATTCTAACTATTTTCAGCCTGAACCCTACCTTCTAGCTTCAAGGGTACGACCATAGCACCTCGCCAAAATTTTTGTTACAGCGTTTTCACTCTACCAAAAATGTCCTGTAAATGCCGTTAATTTATTACCAGTTTTCACTGTAGGTCAATTCACAGCGTTTACTCAGAACTGCTCACGGGATTCACTGTGATCTTGTTCGCGGTGTTCACTGTGATCTGGTCCCCAGTAAACACTGTGAGTTTGACGCCGCTGAGCACCGAAGGACTGCAAATCAGGCTCCAATTCACGGCGTTTACTGTGGCCAGATCACAGTGAACACTGTAACCGAGATCACAGTGAACGCCGTGAACTAGTTAACAGCAAACGCCGTGAATTGCATAACAGCAAACATTGGTAATAAATTAACGGCGTTGACAGGACATTTTTTGTAGAGTGTTGGCTAAATTGTGCGTATTTCAAATCTGGGATATTTTTTTCTCTCTCGCATTTGAGGAGATAAGTTCGATGTCTTAGGTTTTTCTCATAATGCCGGCTCTCCGGCAAAATATCCAACATCACATTTAATTCTAAGTAGCTTTTTGCTTGCTCGGGGAGCCTTAGAGTCGTAAACTGCATTGTGGGGAGCCATGACCACTTTTAAGTGGGGCACCATGACCATGCATATTTGAGTGTTTTTTCTCATTTTATGGTCTAATAATGATTTATTTTCGTCGAAAATTTGCTTTTTGCTTCAGACAATGTATAAGGGTTAAATAATTGCTGCAGAATAGATAGTTTTATCACAAATCGTGAATGACCAGGATGATTAAGAATGGTTCTGAAACTGAGACTTGACATAGTAGTTCCTCTAGCACTTAATGAGCTCCAAACCGCAAAAGTTGGCCGCGAAAGCGATCCGTGGCTACTTTGCACCAAGACGGCTCTGGCATTATGAGAAACAGCATTTATTTCACTTGTTTGCAGTGTAGTAACCGCGATAATTTTCTTAAACTTTACCAAATTGAAATCTGCATACCAATTTGGATTCGTCTTAGCAAGACAAACAAACTGCTAACACATGTCATAGCTTCCCCGTAAACAAAACTACTATCAAAAGTAGTACTGTCGTACTACCATTTCGGAGCTCTGTACATCCCAAAATGTAGTACGGAAGGAGTACCTTATGAAACAAAAAAGGCATCCGAAAGAGGTACTGCCGTGCTACATTTCAGGACGTCTCTTTCGGGAGCACTTCGGGACGTCGGAAACGGTAGGTCTGTGAGAGGTCTTTCGGAGGTCCCCCACCACCCGTCGCAGCGCCCTGCGGCCATGTAGTTCCGAAGGTGACCGCTAGAGCGCGCACCTGTGTCGTAGTTCGATGGCCTGCCGCTAGGGTGCGCCACTGTTCCGGATATGAATGTGAATGCGTATAGGAATGTATATATGAGACAGATAAACTGTTAGGAAAAATGTATTTATTCACTGACCTTTTTAAATTAAAAATCAAACGATAAGACTTGTCACGAACAACAGAAAATATGGAGACAAAAATGGTGGACAGGACTCAAAAACAAAATATTTAAAAGAGGAATCTCAGTTGGACTGAAAAGAAAATACAGCAACCATAACTGTAACACCCCTTGATTAAAAATAAGCCAAAATGACTGAAAGAAATTCAATTAGCACTGATTCCAAGGTGTCATGCTTACTTTGCTCTGTCGCAGGAAATTCACTTAATTTGACACTGAAGCACAGGAGTCAGTTCCTGTTCCACATGTAATTGCATAGTGGTGAAGGTTATCGTTCCAGAATCTTGGGCAACTCCAGTGGGTCAAGGTTTCCGCAAAGAGCCTATTTCTCAAGCATAAAATCAGAAGACGAACAAAATAAACACTTTGACAATAAATGTATCAAAGTAACAGAATATTGTGGGTTAACTTACACCGGCACTTTCTGATTTGGATTGAAACACGAAATAAGCCTGCACCAGGCTTTGAAGTATTCTTCTTATTGGTGCACCTGAGAACTGAACATCTTCGTGCGTGGTTTCTTTTCTTTGGAGAAATGAATTTACTATAGTTAACAGAA